TAAATGTATTAGTGTGTGAACAGGTTAGTGTGTGAACAGGTCTGTGTGTGAACGTGTCAGTGTGGTAAAGTGTCAGTGTGTGAACGTGTCAGTATGAAAATGTATTAGCGTGTGAACGTGTCAGTGTGTGAACGTATCAGTGTGTGAGCTTATGAAAGAATTAGTGTGTGAATGTGCCATTGTTTGAACGTGTCTGTGTGGAAATTTATTAATGTGTGAACATATCAGTATGCGAACGTTTCAGTATGGAAATGTATTAGTGTGTGAACGTTTAAGTATGGACATTTATTAGTGACTGAGAGCGCGTCAGTATAAGAGTGTGTCAGTATGAGAGCGTGTCAGTGTGTGAACGTGTCAGTGTGTGAATGTGCCAAAATGGAAATGTATTAGTGTGTGAACGTTTCAGTATGGAAATGTATTAGTGTGTGAACGTTTCAGTATGGAAATGTATTAGTATGTGAACGTTTCAGTATGGAAATCTATTAGTGTATGAACGTTTCAGAAAAGAAATGTATTAATATGTGAACGTTTCAGTATGGAAATGTATTAGTATGTGAACGTTTCAGAATGGAAATGTATTAGTGTGTGAACGTTTCAGTATAGAAATGTATTAGTGTGTGAACGTTTCAGTATGGAAATGTATTGAAACGTGTCTGTAGTGTGTGAACGTGTCAACGTGTTATGTGAACGTGTCAGTGTGTGAACAGTGTGTTAATAGTGTTGTCAGTGTGTACGTGTCAGTGTGTGAACTTGTCAGTATGGAAATGAATTAGTGTGTGAATGTCAGTTTAGTGTGTGAACGTGTTTAAGTGTGTGAATGTGTCAGTATGTGAACGTGTTAGTGTGTGAACGTGTCAGTGTGTGAACGTGTTAGTGTGTGAACGTGTCAGTATGTGAACGTGTTAGTGTGTAAACGTGTCAGTGTGTGAACGTGTTAGTGTGTGAACGTGTCAGTGTGTGAATGTGATCAGTATGTGAACGTGTTTAGTGTGTGAACGTGTCAGTGTGTGAACGTGTAGTGTGTGAACGTGTCAGTGTGTGAACGTGTCAGTAGTGTGTGAAAGTGTCAGTGTGTGAACTTTCAGTATGAAATCAGTGTGTGAACGTGTCGAACGTGTCAGTATGTGAATGGTGTGTGAACTTGTTAGTGTGTGAGCTTATTAGTGTGTGAATGTGTCAGTGTGTGAACGTGTCAGTATGGAAATGTATTAGTGTGTGACGTTTCAGTGTGGAAATGTATTAGTGATAAATGTGAACGTTTCAGTAAATGGAAATGTATTAGGTCTGTGTGTGAAGTGTCAGTGTGGTAAACGTGTTCATGTATGGAAATGTATTAGTGTGTGAACGTTTCAGTATGGAACGTGTCAAATCAGTGTGTGAGCTTAACGTGTGAATTCAGTATGTTGGATGTATTAGTGAACATATGTGGCGAACGTTTCAGTATGGAAGGAAACGTTTTAAGTGTATTAGTGTGTGAACGTTTCAGTATGGAAATGTATTAGTGTGTGAACGTTTCAGTATGGAAATGTCAGAATGGAAATGTATTAGTGTGTGAACGTTTCAGTATGGAAATGTATTAGTGTGTGAACGTTTCAGTATGGAAATGTATTAGTGTGTGAACGTTTCAGAATGGAAATGTATTAGTGTGTGAACGTTTCAGTATGGAAATGTATTAGTGTGTGAACGTTTCAGAATGGAAATGTATTAGTGTGTGAACGTTTCAGAATGGAAATGTATTAGTGTGTGAACGTTTCAGTATGGAAATGTACGTTTAGTGTGTGAACGTTTCAGTATGGAAATGTATTAGTGTGTGTGTATTATTGAACGTTTCAGTATGGAAATGTATTAGTGTGTGAACGTTTCAGTATGGAAATGTATTAGTGTGTGAACGTTTCAGTATGGAAATGTATTAGTGTGTGAACGTTTCAGAATGGAAATGTATTAGTGTGTGAACGTTTCAGTATGGAAATTTATTAGTGTGTGAATGTGTCAGTATGTGTATATGTCAGTGTGAGAACATGTCAAGATGTGACCATTTCAGCGTGTGAACATGTCAGTATTTGAACATGTCAGTATGTGCACATGTCAGTGAGTGAATATGTCAATGTGTGAACATGATAGTATGTGAAATTGACACATACATAATATATGAGACAAAAATGTGAGTGTACGGCCCAGTCAAACACACAACCTATGACATGAGCACTTGAGTGTAATACACAACACTTAGCAGACGCTAACACATACACACACTCACATTTTTCACGGAGGAAATGGTCACTGAAAAAAAAAAATAACCTGAAGATCTTTGGGGGTACAAATGACATTTAATGGTCATAGACATACAGACAGACAGTTTAATGCGCACAGACACACAGACAGACATCTATCCACGGGTAGTGATATGTCAGATTGAGGTGTCCACTGGTGACTAGCTGTCCACTCACGACTGTCGCAAGAATCAGAACTCGACCACCGTTAACCACTTCCTCCCAGCTGGTCTTGTTATACTGAGATATCGGTTTCTGACAGGTTAAACAAACACAGGTTGTGTTCAGGAAGCATCGCGAGGCTGTGTTCAGGGAATGACCTTCTCACTGCTACACTTGAACAAGCATCTGCCTGAAGTCAGCATAGACAAGCTACATGGAAGGACAGGCAGACAGCATGTGACTGTGATAAGACTACATGGACACTTGATTGCAGCAACTGTTTTCAGACCTATGGCACAGACAGATAAATGCTATAAGACAGACTGAGAAATGTTTGTACTATCACACAGACAGAGACAAATATGTGCTATAATGGCAGCCAATACAGATTCCAAGCCTACAAAACTTGACCATCAAGAAAACTATCAACGTCAAATCTAGCCTAAACATTAATCATGCTGCTGTTCCTCCAGAAATGCACAAGTATGATCTAGAACTTTCTGTTCCATGAAAACATCATCAGATATGGGAGCTGATCTTATAGAAAAGGCTCTAACTCAAGCTAGGACAACTTTCTTCAATGTTCTCCTGCCCAGTTATGTTTCTTCACAATGCTAACACGAAGACAGTCAGTGGGCTGCAAACAGTGGAGTTCTGTGACCTCAGACCCCAACTGTCAAAGTGAAGGTTCTATTTCTGTGCTGCCTTCACAAACACAATTGACCTATATTGATAAGTTACCCCATTGGTCACATACAATATTGACCTACAACTTTTGATGTTTTCAATATGCTAACCTATAATACGGATCAACAAATGTTGGTGTTGTCAAATTTTTTGACCTAGTTGGCATGTACAGATACCTATTTTGGGAGATTTTCAATATTCCAGAAGATGTTGAAACATCTCTAACAGACAGACACTTACTCTAGGAAAATACCAGACATATAAAGACATTCTGAAATATTCTCTAATAGACAGACACCTTGCTCTGAGAGATTTCGAACACACCAGATGTTGAAACATTCTTTAATAGGCAGGAGCATGGGTCAAATTCATTTGTACACCTATGGATAATCTAATGAACCATAACTTCAGTTATGTTTGCTTAAAGAATTATATCACTTGCTGGCTAGTGTATAGGAAACTTCTCGTATTGTTGATGTTCCACCTGTTCATAAAGGCTTTGGTCAAAATGTTTAATTGTTCTTGTGTTTGTGTTTTTCTTGCCCCACTTCACTGAGCTGCCTAGTGAGTTTGTGATCAGTGAATTCCTATTTCATCTGCTGCCTGCAAGTTTGATTTTTTTTCTGTTCGACTGCTGGTCTGTTTGACTGCCTGTCTGTCTACCAGACACTTCAGCTAGAGATAATTTAGCCAGAGTTCATTTTCAGATTCTGTTCTGTCATGGTTTTAATGATGACCATATGTGATGCGATGACTTACAGAACCTTTCCCGTCAGAAACCAGAAAGCTAGTTGTTTCAAATGAAGAATCAGAGATGAGGTATCCAGTTGTTTTGATTGGTTCCCACCTTGAAATGTTGAAGATTTAAGATTTGCCATATTTCTTAATTATATCTATCAGCTCTGGAACCAACATGTTGCTAGAAATTCTTTAACTCTCTGTCTTACTCCATGATTCATTCTCTGTTATTGTCCATGATTTATTCTTGGTCAATGTATGCAATATTTCTCCCTACACCCTAAACCAGGTGTAAAGCTAGCACTCATGGTTGATTGGTGATTCACTGGCACTAGGATAATTTCTCTCGAAGGAGTCTGCCACGGACACACAGCAGTGAAATATTTAGATGTCTATGTGTGTGTATAGGAGATGACCTCCCACCAAGATAAATATTGGTCGCAGCCTTTAGTCACTGAACTGTCAACAAGAAATAGAAACGCAACACCATAACCTGGTCAGATAGGGACATCCAGCAAGTTCAGACGTTGTCTTCCACAACACAGCCACGATGAGAAAATATGCATAACAAACAATAACATCTCTCTCAGTTGTCTGCTCCTAGCAGAGCCACAATGGAAGATGGTCAGCAAAAGACTTTAGAATCTCTCAGTTGTCTGCCCCTGACATAGCCCTTGATGACAGAATTTCAGCAAAAGACTATAGAATCTCTTAGTTGTCTGCCCCTGACACAGCCTTTGATGACAGAATGTCAGCAAAAGACTATACAATCTCTCAGTTGTCTGCCCCTGACATAGCCTTGATGACGTAATGTCAGCAAAAGATTATAAAATATCTAATTTGCCTGCCCCTGACACGGCCACAATGGAAAAATCTTAGCAAAAGACTACAGAACTTCAGTTGTCTGCTCCTGATACAGCCTTGATGGAAGAATGTCGGCGACATGCTCAGCCCTAGTTCCAGGTGGCGCCCGCTACAAGTGTTCTAAGAAAGAAATAGTTGACGTCACTCTAGACTCGGGGTCCACACGCTACACAGATGAGATGTTGCCGAGGTTATGAAGGATGAGTTGTGTCGATGTAGATGAGGACATGCACATGAAGAGATAAGTCCATTCCATCGATCCCTTCACGTTGTCTGGTGTCATTCCTTCAACATGAACTTGTAGAATTCTGAAATTTAGAAAATAATTTTATCAACAGTGTTTCATCATAATCTGAGTGTGAAAACAGTGTGGTCCAAGTGTGAATTAAGTGAACATCTCATGGTCTAAGTGAATTAACTGAGCGTGTAATATTTCAAGTGTGAATAAGGTAAAAATACTATATTCAAGTGTGAATTAAATAAACTGTAATGGTCCTATGAAAAGTAGGCCAACAATGATTACCCTTGGGTGAAGAAGGCCAACTGTGATGGTTTGTGTGGGAATTAGGTCAACTGTCTTGGTCTATGTGTGAATTAGGTGGATTAGATACAGACTGAGAAAAAGTAATTGCAATGTAACTGAAAGATTCTTACACTGGAACTTTCAGGATCAATTACAAAAATGCAATTTTTAAGAAAAGATATAAACACACACACACACACACACACACACACACACCCACATACGTACGTGTGCACATGCATACCTGTATGCACACACGTACACACACCTGTAGAAAAGATAATCAGATATATGTGAATAAGAAGGGAATTACTGGGAGAGCTGCACTAAATATTTGAGGGTTGGAAGATTTAACGCGATGATGATGACATGTGTCCCGTGAGGGAGTAAAAGGAAAGTAATAGCAGGAAATAAAGAAATACCCTGTGTTATCTACATCTTGGATGTCACATTCCTGGGCATCTACAAACTGTGCTTTCATTGTTGTTGATATTGCTGGTGACTGTTCATCTGTCCAGACGATGGTGTTACATTGCGCTACAGGGCGGCATGGGAATCACAGCCCATAGCGATGGTGAGGGCAACAAGCCCAAAGCTAATTCTGTCCTTTAAAGAACATGTTGACCATGTTATAACAAAAGCACGCAAAGGCCTGTCAGCAATGAGGGCAATGGCCGCCGCTAACACTGAGCAGAGACTGCCTTTGCTTCTGTTCCTGGGACTTGTACTTTCTCCCATCGAATATGTCCTAGCCATTCTCACTCTCAGCCATACTCAAAGACTTGAGAAGGTGCAAATCGAAGCAATGTGCATTTTTCTGGGGTGCACTGGAGACACCTCTTGTTTAGCAATGAGGTACCTTCTTGACTTTCCTACCATGATCTGGAGGACTCTGCACACCTCAAGATTAGATCAGATCCGAAGCACCCGTTGCACCACATGCTCTTCAGGAAAAAGGGCAATGTACTTAAATGTGGTAAATCATGGCTGGGTAGGGCAGAGGAGGAATCATGCAGGTCTGCAGTCTTACAGATATCCATCCAGGTGAGGAATAGATACCACAGTCTAAAGCGCGCAATCTCACATTCTCCTGTGTCGTCACACCTGATAGAAGTTGTCATGACCGGAATCCCGTTGCTGCCAACGCCGGGGTCTGCGCGTTTATCAGTGACAAGTCAGGTGAGACAGATGTGCTGATCTTCCAGACGGGTCTGTTATATGAGGACATAATATTACCACCACTGCGCTCCTCTGCCAAAAGCCATTGGAACATTGTGGGATGTTAGTTTTGGGTTACGTTGCTCAACATTTCATCATTAACAAATAACAGGTAGCACTGACTAATATTATATCGTGAGATTTTCACATGTGATATATCATTTATTTTATTACTGCCATATTATAGCCCCAGTCGACTAGCCACTTGAGTCTTCTTGATTCAGCAGAGACCGACGCCAATAAAGATCAACGGACAAGCCCAAGCAATTTCCTGATACCTCAGAACCTGATAAGATCATGTGAAACTAATAGCAACATACATGACACCAGAAACATAGATAAAAATTATATGAAACCTACGCGAACATACATGACAACATAAACATAGATAAGATTATGGGAAATCAAGAGAAATGAACATGACAACAGAAGTGTAGAAAACTGCACGTGAAACCCGCATCAACATAATGACAACAGAAACATAGATAAGATCATGTAAAACCCGCTAGAATATACATGACACCAGAAACTAAGATCCTGTGAAACCCGCAAGAATATACATTACAACAGAAACATAGATAAGATCGTGTGAAACCCGCAAAAATATACATTACAACAGAAACATAGATAAGATCATGTGAAACCCGCAAGAATATACATTACAACAGAAACATAGATAAGATCATGTGAAACCCGCAAGAATATACATTACAACAGAAACATAGATAAGATCATGCGAAACCCGCAAGAATATACGTGACACTAGAAACATAGATAAGATCATGTGAAACACGCAAGAATATACATGACACAAGAAACTAAGATCATGTGAAACCCGCAAGAATATACATGACACCAGAAACTAAGATCCTGTGAAACCCGCAAGAATATACATTACAACAGAAACATAGATAAGATCATGTGAAACCCGCAAGAATATACATTACAACAGAAACATAGATAAGATCACGTGAAACCCGCAAGAATATACATTACAACAGAAACATAGATAAAATCATGTGAAACCCGCAAGAATATACGTGACACCAGAAAAATAGATAAGATCATGTGAAACCCGCAAGAATATACATTAAAACAGAAACATAGATAAGATCATGTGAAACCCGCAAGAATATACATTACAACAGAAACATAGATGACCACGTGAAACTGAGGTGAACATACATAGGGAACATATATGACAATAAAAACATAGATAAGATCATGTGAAACTCACAGGGATATACATGACAACAGAAACGTGGATATGATCATGTGAAACAAATGGGAGCGTACATGATACCAGGAACATAGATAAGATTATGTAAATCTCTAAGGCATTGGAGATGTAGTTTTACAGAATAATCATAAAAACCCTTGGACAATCAGAAAGAGCAACCCAGAAATTTTAAAACTGATGAGGACTGGAAGACAACCCATCACAAACATCAGAAAGAACCAGTCATCATTTTGTTGTCACATTATGAGAAGAAGGAAACTGGAAACATGTTGTGACCACTGGAAATATCTGTGAGGAAAGAGACAGAGGAAGGCAAGAAGATTCTTGACAGTCTTTTGTCATGGCATGGAGGGGTGTCAACACATAAAGTGAAACACGAAAGTTGAAAATCGCAGAGACGCATGATCGTCCATGCCGGTCGGCATGGCACTTGATTATGAAGAAGTCAAATACTACCAAGGATAATGCACAGAAACGAAATACAGATGAAGCATCAGTCAAGAAGACAACTGTGAAACGATGACTACCCACCTGAAAAGTCCACTTTGCCATCCTTGTTCTTGTCTATGTCATCGATCAGCTCATCCAGTTCTTGGTCTGACATCTGAACTTTGGCCTGTATTGTTTTCAGGATGCCCCGGAGGTCCTCATTGGGGATAAAACCTTTTCTGTTGTCATCGAGGATCCGAAACATTTCCTTGTAGCAGGTCTCCTCATCTTTGTCTTTCAGAATGTGTGACAGCTGCGAGAAAAACTCGTCGAAAAAGTCCACATTTGCATTTGGAGTTTCATCTGAAACAGGGGACACAGTCAAATAGAGAGCATAATGATATTGTTAAATAGAGAATATCTATAAGATAAAACGTTAATTTTTACGTGAGCCTGGCCTATAGTGGTGCTTTTGTTTGGCTGGCCGTCCTTTACTCCATTTATAATCATCATCAGCATGTGCCGTGCCAATGAAAATGGGCTGCATGGTTTGTAGACAGAGGGAATCATGTCGGTAGGTGTGGAGGACGGAAATTTATAAATACCAATCCCCTAGATACTTGGCCAGCATGTAATGCATTCCCCGATCGTACGTATCACATAGCCTAAATAAATAGAGAACATGTATAACTTATTTAAATAGAGAACGTAGATGACCCAGTTTAAAAAAAAAAACATGACACAGTTAAATAGAGAACATAGATAATCAGCAAAACAGAGAACATAAATAGTTCAGCTAAACATATGTGACATAGTTAAACAGAGAACATATATAAATCAGTTTAACAGAGCATCATCATCATTATCGAGTGCCTTGCCGACTGGCATAGGCGATCAGGCCTCTTCACAATCTGCGATCCGCTATTGTGTGTTATCAGTTCGTGTGTTGTCACCCCTCCATGCCAAGATAACAGCCTATTAAGAATCTTCTCACGCTGTCTTCCTCTGTCTCTCTTCCCACAGATATTTCCAGTGGTCACAACATTTTCCAGTTTCCTTCTTCTCATAAATGAACCCCCCCCCCCCCCATCCCCCCTCCCCCTCAAATTTTCACTGTATCTTTCTGATGTTTGCAATAAGTTGCTTTGATAAAACCTCCTTCTCTTTGCCTCTTTCAAAACATCTGGGTTGCTTTTTGTAGCTGTCTAGAGAAAGCTAAGGATTACTCTGTAAAACCACGTCTTCGAGGCCTCAAGAAATTGTTCAGCCTTTTTATTACTCGTCTAGGATTCACAGCCATGTGTTAAAACTAGCTCTATATAACATGCGAGAATCCTTTTCCTAACCTCCAGTTACATGCTTTTATTGCATAAAATAATCTTAATTTTATACAATGGAGTTTTGGCCTGTCATATCTTTTTTTTTTTAAAAATTATCTCTTGGTACATCTTCCGCTGGAATGTTATCTATGTGCCTATATACTTAAATTTATGTACTTGTCCTAAAATAATGCCTTTGACACTTAAAATACATTAAGGAACTATTATTTTCTTGGAAATCACCATTACTTCTGCCTTTCCATTATTCAAACTGAGGCCCATTTTATCATTTTTCTACCACCTCCATATCTATCAATTCCTAGAAATATGACCCACTTAAATAAAGAATATACTTGACCCAGTTAAATAAAGAACATTTATTACCAGGTTAAATACAGAATATACATGACCTAGTTAAATAAAGAACATTCATGACAAAGTTAAATTTAGGTTAGTTGGGTATCCTTTGCAGGACGTTGCAGAACCTAACCCTAACAGCCCCTGGCTGTTGTGTGGTTTCTCTAGGCAAATTTACGTCCAGTAGTTTGTCATTGCCCTCTGGACGGTCGGCTTTCTTGATACCACTGTCGAAACCAACGCATGGCGCGTGGCCCTCAGCTGAGATCGAACCCGGCATCCCGGCATTACGAAGCGTTCGCATCGACTTAGCCACAGAGCCGACCAAGTTAGAGAAATTATATGACCCAGTTAAATAATGAACATAAAGGCCCAGTTAAATAGAGAACATACATGAACCAGTTATATAGAGATATTATATTACTCTGTTAATTAGACAACACAAAGACCCAGTTAAATATAAAAAATACCTGACCCAAATAAACCGAGAAATTAAATGACCCTGTTAAATAGACAACATAATGACCCAGTTAAAAAAAAAAGAACATAATGACTTGTTAAACAAATAACATTAGGAGCAAAAAGAGATCTCACAACACTGGGAAATTCGTGGAAGTTAAACAAACAAACACAAAATTTAAACTAGTAACCAATTTTTTTTTTAAATGTAGCTATAATGTCAAATCAGTTCTGTTCTATGTCGCTGAAACAATGAGAACAACTAAAACATTATTTTAAAATGTCATATACTGGTGACGCCAGTAAAACATTGACTCTCTTAAAAAGATCAGCTCAGAAAATTGGACTAGTTGTCAATCAAGATAAGACAGAATACACGATAATAACTATACAGGGAAAGGATGTAAACTCCGGCCGCATACAAGTCAATAATTAGAAAATCCAACGAACGGAAACATATAAGTGCTAAGGTGCAAAAACTGCTCCAACATGCTGACAGATAAATAGAAGAAAATACAATCTAGAATATAATCTGGAAATAAAGTATACTATGCCCTTCAACATTTGCTAAAGTCAAAGTGTCTGTCTCACAACAACAAGATCAAAATATACAACACGTTGATAAGACCAGTCGTTTTATTTGGCTCTGAAACTTGGAGCACAACTAAAATAGTTTTGAAGCCTTATTACAGGCTTGTGAAAACTGAGTCTTACAACGAATCTATGGACCCATCAAAGATGCAAACAGCCGTGAATAGAGAGTGAGAAGCAACAACGAAATTCAAAATCTGTTTAAATCCCCATTGATCACTGGCACCATGAGCGCTAAAAGACTGAAATGGCTGGGGCATATTGAAAGAATGTCAGATGACAGAGAGGTAAATGAAAAATGAAAATAATAAGCTCAACGGCGCTGCCCGGGCAAAATTTTGAGTTAAAAATCTACATGAAGTTTTTAAGGATCCTCGCCGCTGCTACAGAGTTCGTGCACTACGCTGCGATTCTTCGGACTCCGACTTGAGTCAGAAGTACAACGGAGCACTTACGGGTTACTACACTTGTGCAATAGTGTTGATCTGTTGTTTAAACCTAAAACTTAGTGGCTTGATGTAGATAACATTGGACTGACTGACTGACGTTCAACCCCCACAAGGACCGCACAGAGAAAGACAAACACCCGGTGACACAAAGTGTCACCATTTTGATGAGAAGCACCAGGGCACGAGCTTATATTTAGCGATCCCAACGACACCTGGGGTGGGGTTTTAAAACAACCAAATATTGTGTCCCGTATTGGGGCGAAGTTTGTACACTGGACTAAACACGCCCAGCGGCTCTCAACCTGTAGGTTGCAACCCTTTTGTGGGTCGAACGACCCTTTCACTGGGGGTCGAAAAGACCATCAGAAAACACATATTATCTGAAGTTATGACGTAGCAATGAAAATAGTTGAATGGCTGGGGGTCACCACAACATGAGGAACTCTATTTAAGGGTCGCGGCATTAGGAAGATTAAGAACCACTGAACTAGCCGGTAAAGGTAATATGGAGTATTTGGAGAAATTAATTATGGGCACAGATTTGGCTTTATTAAAAAATTCAATGTTTACACGAAGGTAGAGGTCACATACCTGTATATAAATCTGATCTCATTACGAGTGACTCTAGTCATTTTCATAAAAAAATGTTACCGTCCTTTTTAGGATGAAATTGTTCGTTATTTGAAGCCCTACTCTGGCTCTTGCCAGGGGCCGCAATATAGCCCGACCATAAATATGGCCTAATGGCTTAACGCGGTTTCTGGGACCTCTCCACGGTGATCCTCATCCACATGGTGGCACTTTGTGTCATCGGGTGTTTACAGCTGCATTATTTTATTTATCCCCCCCCCCTCCCCCCCTCATGATTAAAGTGGAGAATTTGACACCGAACCTATGAGCCAACATCCGATGAGCAGTAATCCCCCTCCTCCCCCACCTCAAAAAAAAAAGTATCTCAACCATGGGGGGTTATAATCGAGATATAAAGTGTTAATTGAGTTCTCAGAGTATGAGTTCAGTTGAGTCAAGAATTGACATCGCAGAACTCGGGGCATTCCCATACATGCTCCGGCCTCATCTCCATCAGCCAGCGCAGAGTTCCAGTACTGATGGTACCGGTCACAGTCTGGTTATATGTCCGTCTGGCCTGTTTAGTGAGCCGGCGAGACCCTCTGGTTACACCCAGATGTCTCATTCTGTCCAGGCAATAATAATCTGCTATCTCTACTGATTCAGAGTAAAAATATTTGTTATCTGCGTTGCATAAAACTGGAAGTCCGCATCGTGGCGGCCTTTTTACCACATGACCTTGGCCACCAGGTCGACCCAGCCTAAAATGGGTAGAAGATAAGTTCTGAGAGGTAAAGGTGACCGGCAAGATGTTGGCCAGATACACCAAATGTCGACTGGTCCATAGAATAGGTCTAGCACCATATGCTCAACACGTCTATGTTATGTGATTATTTATTTCACGCATTTATGTAATCTGTAATACCATTTAAAATATGGTCTTATTCCCTTATTTTTGGATTGAAACTACACATAATTTTTAGATAATTATATCAACACTGTGTCACTAAAATAGTGGATTTATTATGCACTTCGTATAGCCACGGATGAAAATATAGACTTACGTTCTTCCATGTTCAGTGTGTCACAACTGAGTACAAGATGATCTCTTTACTTGTGCAATCGGTGCAGAACAAGGAGGACAGCAGCAAGATTGGCCCGAGTGGTGAGCAAGTGAAACGTTTCTTCAAGTCCTAGGCTGCAGATTGGAATTTCACCTCCTCCTCAACTCCCAATACCTGTATCTGACTTTGTTTTAGTGCTACATGTTATACGTAGCGCGCTACCTGCCAGGTGTTATTTGGCCAGATACACTGGTTTATGTGCTACAGTCCAGATTATTTTCATCTTCCTAATTAGGTTACAATACAAGTGCTCGTGCAAGCAATCCTACTGTAGGTTACAAGGCGACTGCTCCGGTAAGCGATCCTGTAGGCTACAAGGGGACCACTCGGGCAAACGATCCTCCAGGCTATATTATGACATATCGGGCAAGCGATCCTGCAGGCTATATTGTGACTTCTCGGGTAAGCGATCCTCCAGGCTATATTATGACATATCAGGAAAGCAATCCTGCAGGCTATATTGTGACTTCTCGGGCAAGCGATCCTGCAGACTATATTATGACTTCTCGGGCAAGCGATCCTGCAGGCTATATTATGACTTCTCGGGCAAGCGATTCTTCAGGCTTTATTGTGACTTCTCGGGCAAGCGACCCTGCAGGCTATATTATGACTTCTCGTGCAAGCGATCCTGCAGGCTATATTGTGACTTCTAGGGCAAGCGATCCTGCAGACTGTAATATGACTTCTCGGGCGAGCGATCCTGCAGGCTATATTGTGACTTCTCGGGCAAGCGATCCTGCAGACTATATTATGACTTCTCGGCGAGCGATCCTGCAGGCTATATAGTGACTACTAGGGCAAGCGATCCTGCAGACTATATTGTGACTTCTAGGGCAAGCGATCCTGCAGACTATATAGTGACTTCTAGGGCAAGCGATCTTGCAGACTATATTGTGACTTCTAGGGCAAGCGATCCTGCAGACTATATTGTGACATCTAGGGCAAGCGATCTTGCAGACTATATTGTGACTTCTAGGGCAAGCGATCTTGCAGACAATATTGTGACTTCTAGGGCAAGCGATCTTGCAGACTATATTGTGACTTCTAGGGCAAGCGATCTTGTAGACTATATTGTGACTTCTCGGGCAAGCGATCCTGGTTTCTCAGCTGACAACAATCAGATATAGTCCGGGTCTTTCCTAGACTGTCTGATTGACTGCACAGACAAGTGTCCAGTTAACTGTCCTAGTCTTCTCTCGACTGACTGATTGTGGACATAGTAAAGTATCCAGTCAATTGTCCTAGTCTTCTCTCGGCTGCCGAACTGTGAACATAGACAAATATTTGGTTAACTGTTCCAGTCTTCCCTCGACTGCCCAGCTGTGGACACAGAAAGGTATCCAGCTAACTGTTCCAGTCTTCCCTCGACTGCCCAGCTGTGGACACAGAAAGGTATCCAGCTAACTGTTCCAGTCTGTCCTCGACTGCCCAGCTGTGGACACAGAAAGGTATCCAGCTAACTGTCCCAGTCTGTCCTGGACTGCCTGATCGTGGACACAGACAAGAGTCCAATCAATTGTCATAGTCTTCCCTCGATTGTCCGACTGTAAACATAGACAAATATCCAGTAAACTGTTCCAATCTTCTACCGAAGACTATGTGGAGAAAGCTAGATATATTGGTTTAAATGGCACAAGGGGTAACCCATAAGTGCTCCGTTCAACTTCTGGCTCAAGCCTGAGTGCACGAACTCCGTAGCACCGGCTAGGATCCTGAAAAAGGTTGGTTAGATTTTTAACTCCAAATTTTTGCCTGGGCAGCGCCGTTAGGCTACTCTTTTTTATTTCACACTGTCGAAGGATTTTATACGTGCGCAGCAATACACATTGGCGTCCTATCTTACTACCCAGAGACCAAGGGAAATTACTAGAAATCAAAGTGAATAAAATACAAGCCTTCACCTAGGCCTGAACCCGGGACCTCCAGCACTCGAAGCGGATGCCATGCCTCGAGACTACACAGCCCCCACCCCCCCCCCCACACCCATATAGCTGTCCCTGCGTACCCATAACTACCGTTACGTCGCAGTAGCAATACGTTTTCTACGTAAGTTTTCTGATTTCTCGATCACAGGTAGGTCTTGGCACAAACTCACGTGCAATGATTCCAGGTCAATAGATGAAGAAGCTTGGAACAACCAGCAAGCAACGGTTTTGTCTCGCTACTCTGAACAAGGTAAGCAGACTGGATGTTACACGGGGACGCAAACACCTCAAACACAAAGTTTAAATAATTTTTGACTGACAGCACACATGTGCACGTGATGTTTAAAACATCTACACATAAAAGTAAAAGTTAGCAAAGATCAATTTTCCACGCTGTCAGGCGTATTGGGCATATAGGGCTAGACCTATATTTTATAGATCAATTGGACACTTGGTGGGTGGTGTGGTGAACATCACGCCGGTCGCTTTTACTTCCCATGACTGTATCTGGTAGGCTGGGTCGACCTGGAAGCCAAAGTCATTTGTTTACAAAAAGTCCGGCTTCGTAAGGATCCGAACTAATGACCTTCCGATCCGCAGGCTAGCGTCTAGTCGCTGCACCACGGCGGCCTCCATTATCTACATGGCCAATAAGACACCTTTTTTTGGGGGTGCCCAGTTGACCATGTTTCTTAGTGCACTCTTATTCATGGCGAGGCGCAGACGCCGTCTGGGGGTGACAGGTTCAATTCCCGGCACGGTAACTATAGCTTTCGATATTTATGTTGTCTAGTGTGTTCTTCTATCTTTCTACTTCTTCCTATGAGTGCCGATCAATACACTTTCTGTTACTCGATTAATTCATAATATTTAACGGCCTCAAAGGTTCCCCCTCTGTTTATTTATAGGAGTGATATGTACACAAAGATACACATAAATATAATGTTGCATCATTAGTCTGTACACGTTGAAACACAGAAAGGAAATGATAATTAAAACACACAGATGTAGAAGCAAAGTAACAAAGATAGGTTTTATACGTAGACACACATGAATAAAGTTAGACATCGTTTATACATGTGACGTACATGAATAAAGTTAGAGTGAATATTAATACGTGTTGACATATATGAATAAAGTTCAGTAATAATGTATACACACAAACATGCATAAATAAAGCTACAGTAATAATTTACAAACACATACACATATGCGTACAATTACAGTGATAATTTATTCGCATAGTAAAGTACAGTCAGAGACTATTTTCAATGCATTCAGGCGCGTTAGGCATATAGGGCTAGACCTATATTTTCTAGACCAATTGGCACCAAAATGGGTGATGTGATTAACATCAAACCAGCCGCCTTTACTTTCTATGACTTTAACTGGTACCCATTTCCGGCTGTATCGACCTGGGAGCGAATGTTTTTTTTTTTTTGATTCGGAATCGAACCCACAACCGTCGGATCCGCAGGCTAGCGTCTAGCCGCTACATGACGGCGGCTCCCCTTGTCCACGTCGAGATACCGGATAAAGTTACGGAGTATATTCCCATGAGCTGTGGACAGACCAGCGAATGTCAAATCGCTAGATTTTGTGATTAGCGCCCCGCAGTCGTCGTCTGGATTGATTCGAGTGCTTCCCCAATCCACATTCGTACGCAAGTCTGACACACTTAGCTGTTTCAGCTGTACAAATGAACCAAGGTACCCAAGGTTATCAACTGTCTACCTCAAAATTGTTATCTGTACTCAAGGACATTTATCCATCTCCCTCAACATTTCAATTGTACCAATGAACATATCAGCTGTACCCAAGGACATATCAACTGTCGACCTCAACATTTCAATTGTACCAATGAACATATCAGCTGTACCCAAGGACATTTAACTGTCTACCTCAAAATTTCAGTCAATTAACATATCAGTACCCAAGGACATATCAACTGTCGACCTCAACATTTTACCTGTACCAATAAACATATCAGCTGTACTCATAAATATATCAACTGTCTTCTTCAACATTTCAGCTGCATCAATGAACATATCAGCTGTGCCCCTCAACATATCAACTGTTTACTCATAAATATATCAACTGTCTTCTTCAACATTTCAGCTGCATCAATGAACATATCAGCTGTGCCCCTCAACATATCAACTGTCTCCCTCAACATTCCAGCTGCATTAATGAACATATCATATGTGACCCTCAACATTCCAGCTGCATTAATGAACATATCAGCTGTGCCCCTCAACATATCAACTGTCTCCCTCAACATATCAACTGTCTCCCTCAACATTCCAGCTGCATTAATGAACATATCATATGTGACCCTCAACATTCCAGCTGCATTAATGAACATATCAGCTGTGCCCCTCAACATATCAACTGTCTCCCTCAACATTCCAACTGCATTAATGAACATATCAGCTGTGCCCCTCAACATATCAACTGTCTCCCTCAACATTCCAGCTGCATTAATGAACATATCAGCTGTGCCCCTCAACATATCAACTGTCTCCCTCAACATTCCAGCTGCATTAATGAACATATCAGCTGTGCCCCTCAAACATATCAACTGTCTCCCTCAACATTCCAGCTGAATTAATGAACATATCAGCTGTGCCCCTCAACATATCAACTGTCTCCCTCAACATTCCAGCTGCATTAATGAACATATCATCTGTGCCCCTCAACATATCAACTGTCTCCCTCAACATTCCAGCTGCATTAATGAACATATCAGCTGTGCCCCTCAACATATCAACTGTCTCCCTCAACATTCCAGCTGCATTAATGAACATATCAGCTGTGCCCCTCAACATATCAACTGTCTCCCTCAACATTCCAGCTGAATTAATGAACATATCAGCTGTGCCCCTCAACATATCAACTGTCTCCCTCAACATTCCAGCTGCATTAATGAACATATCATCTGTGCCCCTCAACATATCAACTGTCTTCCTCAACATTCCAGCTGCATTAATGAACATATCATCTGTGCCCCTTAACATATCAACTGTCTCCCTCAACATTTCAGCTGTATTAATGAACATATTAGCTGTGCCCCTCAACATATCAACTGTCTCCCTCAACATTCCAGCTGCATCAATGAACATATCATCTGTACCCCTCAACATTCCAGCTGCATCAATGAACATATCATCTGTACCCTCAACATTCCAGCTGCATCAATGAACATATCATCTGTACCCCTCAACATTCCAGCTGCATCAATGAACATATCATCTGTACCCCTCAACATTCCAGCTGCATCAATGAACATATCAGCTGTACCCTTCAACATGTCAACTGTCTCCCTCAACATTCCAGCTGCATCAATAAACATATCAGCTGTACCCTTCAACATATCCATGCGCATGCGTTAGTACAGCAAAGCTTAGAAAATACTGGTTCACTGTAGTTTAACAAAGCCAGAGCTAGGTTGAGCTATTTTTCAAGAACGGACATCCTAGCAATTGGGACATTTCCATAAGCGCCTATCCACATCTTCAGCAGCCAGTGAAGATGACCTAGCTGCGGCTACTGGAGCCTGGTCCTGACATAACGAGAAAGACTTCCCCAAAAATCGGACAAAATCAAGCTACAACCGCTCACAAGAGAAATGACATTGAACACAAGCCGCGGTGACTTGCTTGCTTGAGGCCGATCCTGATACAGACATCTAAAGTGTCCCCACGCATTTTTGAAATACGGAACACAGCTCAACTGCCTACAGGAACTAGCATCGCTACACCTGGAGGTTAAAGTTTGTCAGCTGACCTTTGTAACAATTTCTCCTTGATCCGGGGAGTGCAAGTTGCCGCAACTCGTTAGGAAAGTTCGGCAGTTTCGCAGCTGTTCCAAATGCATTGTATGGTGTGTGGTTGTTTGTGTGTGTGGGTTGTTTATGTATGTGGGTATTTGTGTGGTATGTGTTTGTGTACATGGTTATTAGTGTACGAGCGGTACGTATGTGTGGTTTATGTTTGCGTGCTTGTTTGTGTGTGTGTTATGTGTGGTTGTTTGTGTATGTGGGTGAAGGATGGGTATTCCTTAGAAAGAAGCTTAAAACATTGAGTGTACAGCGGGCAAGATTTTGACACTATGTGCCAATCAGACACGATGGCACTATGTGTACAACACAAAATATATTGAAACTATGTGCACATTAGAAAAGATGGCACTATGTGTAAAACACAGAAGATATTGACACTAAGAGCACATCAGATAAGATGGCACTTTGTGTACAACAGAAAAGATATTGACACTATGTGCACATCAGACAAGATGGCACTACATGTACAACAGGAAAGATATTGACACTATGTGCACATCAGCCAAGATGGCACTATGTGCACAACACAAAAGATATTGAAACTATGTGCACATTAGACAAGATGGCACTGTGTACAACAGAAAAGATTCTGACACTACAGCAGACAAGATAGTACTATGTGTACAACAGAAAAGATATTGACACTATGTGCACATCAGACAAGATGGCACTGTGTACAACAAAAAAGACATCAACACTATGTGCACATCAGACAAGATGACACTATGTGTACAACAGAAAAGATATTGACACTATGTGCATGTCAGACAAGATGGCACTCTGTGAACTACAGAAAAAAGTATTGACACTATGTGCACATCAGACAAGATGACACTATATGTTCAACAGAAAAGATATTGACACTATGTGCACGTCAGACAAGATGACACTATGTGTACAACATAAAAGATATTGACACTATGTGCATATCAGACAAGATGGCACTCTGTGAACTACAGAAAAATATATTGACACTGTTCATCAGACAAGATGACACTATGCTTAAAACAGAAAAGATATTGACACTATGTGCACATCAGACAAGATGGCACTATGTGTATAAAGAAAAAATATTGACACTATGTGCACATCAGACAAGATGGCACTTTTTGTATGAAGAAAAGATACTCACACTGTACAGCAGACAAGATGGCACTATGTGTACAACAGAAAATAATGACACTATGTGCACATCAGACAAGATATCACTATGCGTATAAAGAAAAGATATTGACACTGTACAGCAGACAAGATTTCACTATGTGTAGAACAGAAAATATTGCACTATGTGTACAACATACGAGATGACACTTTGTGCACAACAGAAAAATTATTGACACTAAGTGCACATCAGACAAGATGGAACTTTGTGTACAACAGAAAAGATATTGACATCATGTGCACACCAGTTAAGATGGCACGCTGTGTTCAGCAGAAAAGATACTGACACTATGTGTACAGCAGACAAGATGGCACTATGTGTACAACAAACATCATAATGATACTATGTGCACAACAGACAAGATGACAACACTGTGTATAACAGAAAAGATAATGGCTCTGTGTGTACAATAGAAAAGTAATGGCACTATGTGTACAATAGATAACATGATGACACGATACGTACTATCGACATTATGATGACACTGTGTACAACAGACAAGATAATGACACTGTGTACAGCAGAAAAGATAAGGACACACTGTGTACAGCAGACAGGATAATGACACTGTGTACAGCAGAAAAGATAAGGACACACTGTGTACAGCAGACAGGATAATGAAACTGTGTACAGCAGACAGGATAATGACACTGTGTACAACAGTGTATGAATAAAACACTAGTCTTCAGATAGGGTCTAACAGTTTGTTAGTTAGTTGTTGGGTCATCACCATTGCACTCCGGACATGTCCACAGGTGCTCAGACCCTCCCCTCAGTATGAAACCCAGTGTCCGGTGGCTAGAGTTCTATGTTGATTAACAAGTCCTCTGATGTGCCTCGTGTGCATCTCGTTTTTTTTTGGGTGCTATGCCAATCTTAACTCCTAAGTCTATCATTCTGGTGAAGTTGTTATGAAAATGAGAAAGACATTGGGAAAGTTTTGGAGGCTACATAGGCAGATGCTTAAGAAAGATCGGCCTAGCTTAGTAGCAGCAATTCACAGAGATGTCGGTATGTTATTAACTACAGACAAAGAGAAGGGGGAGGCTTTCCTGAAGAGGTTCATTTCACAAACAGACCACAATAGTGGAGATAACCGAGATAGAGTTAGAGAAGATCTGGCAACCATCTTAAAGAACAAACCTCATGAAGACATCATACAGGTGGAAGATGTAAAATGTGTTCTGAAAAGGGCGAAAAACACTGCGCCCGGGCCGGACAGGGTTAGATATTCCCACATAAATGACATGAGTGATGCAGACCAGTTGGAGATGACTGCTTGCTTCAACCAGAGCATTAGGACAGCTTCAGTCCCAGAAGAGTGGATGCACAGCTACCTGATTCCACTTCCTAAGCCTGGCATGAATCATTCAATACTCGGGGGCTTTAGGATCATAACCCTCCAAAACACTTTGGTAAAGTGCTGGAGAAGATAGTGACGGGTAAACTACAAGAATTTTTGGAACAGAGTAATCTCCTTCCACGAGGACTGGGGAGTTACCGGTCAGGGAAGGACACATGGTCAAATGCAGCCACTTTTGCCTTTGATACCTTTGAAGGTTTCCAGAATAGACAGGAAACGGTGGCAGAGGCCCTCAATTTAAAAGACGCTTACAACAGAGTCAGATACAGAATTTTAATGAAAGCCTTTATGGAGAAGGGAATCTGTCCTTGGTTTATGAATTGGATAGCAACTGTTTTGTATACTCGCCGGGTAGCTCTCCACCTGGGTTCATGTATTATAGCTCCAGGACTACCACAGGGATCTGCAATTTCACCTGTACTGTTCAATGTTTTTACGAGCAAGATTGCCTGCCTGGAAACACTTGGAGTTGGCAGAGTATTGACATTTGCAGATGATGTTCTTGTATATAGGAAGGGGAGAGATCAGAATCAAATAGCTGAAGAGTTACAGGCAACAGCAGATAAGGTGATTGACTGGTGTTCAGAGATAAGTGCTGAAATCAACCCAGAAAAGGCAACCGTTCTGTGGTGTTCTTTAAACAACACGGTTGTTAGAGCTGATGTTTCCAGACTCAAAATAAATGGCAGGGACATCCCAAAGAGACAGTAGACTGCGGTACC